AACAAAACCAGAGATGCTGGACAAATTAATGTCGTCATCGACTGTAACAGGTCGTCCCTCAGTATACCTGAATGAACTTATGTCATTAGCAAGCCGAATTGGCGTGGGGGACGATATCAAATGCGTCACAAATTTATTCAAGCCCTACCTCACTCCATTAAACCAGTGGTAGCTGCACAAGTCGATTTAGACACAGATCGTCTTGGAAAAATGGCGGACGACTTATTATTATATTTTAACAAACAAGACACCGCACATATTCGACAGATTTCAGGGAAGCAAAAGGATGAACAGCAAAATAAAAATGAAACTAAAAGGATACATGGCTGTTCCCACAGTGAAAATAAATTCCCTACCAGTGTTCGCCCTTTTAACAAGGACCAAAAACCTCAAATTTGTTGAGCGCATTTATACTTTATGGAATGCAAAAATTTTGTAAGCCGTGGTGCAGATGGCCAAATAAACGGAATGTTCAATGCAACCCAACTCTCGCCCAAATTCACCAGTTCCTCGTGAGACTTGGAAAACTAACTAGGCGAGAGGTGTTAGCTTCCATTTCCTCGCCGCTTCTCATTGTAGCCGCACGGTTAGGAGCTCAAAGTTTAAATTTTATTGTGGATACAGGAGCTGCCGTATCTATACTTCCGAAGAGATATTTAAGCGGAGCTGTAACATACCCAACCAATATCTCTTTAGATCAAAAGATTGAATGCTCAGGACAAACAGTACTGAATCTAACACTACGGAACCTCAGACGAGAATTTACCTGGACATTTATAATAGCCGAAACTGCTCAGCCACTCCTAGGATACGATTTCCTAAACCATTTCGGGCTAATGGTGGACTGCACAAACAATAAGCTAATTGATAAAATGACTAATAGACAATCCGATGCACATCCATCGTCTATTATCATGAATATAGATTTAGTACCGAATAAAGATGCTAACAAAATGGTACGAGCAATTCTGGAGAAATACCCAAACTTAATTTCTCCTCATCGCGACTTAATGCAACAAAACCAAAGATATTCCACAGAATAGAAACTGGTAGGAACCTCCTACTTTCTCCAGAGCCAGACAATTATCAGCTCAGAGATGTGAAATTGCAAAAGAGGAATTCAAGAAACTCCTAAAAGGCAGGAATAATTTCCCCTTCAAACTCTGAATGGAGTTCAGCCTTACACATGGTACCGAAGTCAGGCGGCACATATAGACCTGTTGGCGATTACAGACATTTAAATACCATAACAAAAGCCGATCGATATCAAGTCCCAAATATAAATTCCTTGTCTTCGAAGCTTCATAATAAGAAGTTCTTTTCAAAGATAGACCTGTCGTCTGCTTATCATCAGATACCGGTACACCTGGAGGATGTTTGCAAGACAGCCATCTCTACCCCTTTTGGGTTATTTGAATATAACTATATGCCTTTTCGGACTACGGAACGCATCATGTACTTTTCAGAGAATGATGGACAATATCTTTCGTGATACTGATTATACCTTTGTATATATCGACGATATCCTTATATTCTCAGAAGATGAAGAAACTCATTCCAAGCATATCGACCTAGTACTACAAAAAACTGAGTGAGTACAATTTTAAAATTTGTCTCTCCAAATGCATATTTAGTGCTAATGAATTAGACTTTTTAGGATTTCACATTTCTGCTAGTGGTCTCAAACCCAGTGCTAAAAGTTGAATGAATTAAGTGAATTTCCTCAACCAAATGATTCTAAATCACTACGCCAATTCCTCGGAATGGCAAATTTTACAGAAAACTTGTGCCAAATTTCAGTGATATCATACTACCTCTCACGGAAAAAAATACGTTTAAACCAAAATTCAAGTCATTAACCCTAACAAAGGAAGAAATTGAATCTTTCGAAAATATGAAAAAGTCTTTATCAAATGTAACTGTTTTGGCTTTCCCCAGCTCGAAAGCTAACAACTATCAACTTGTAACAGACAGTTTGAATTATGCGGTGGGTGCAGCACTTCATCAAATGATTGATAATCAACCCATCCCCATAGGTTTCTTTTCAAAGAAATTATCCCAAACCCAACAAAAATATTCTACTTTTGACAGAGAACTACTAGCTGCCTATCTAGCAGTACTCCATTTTAAACATTTAATAGAAGGCAGAAATGTAATGTTACTGACGGATCACAAACCACTTTGCAGTGCTTTTAAAAGCCAGTCTTCCTTAAAATCAGATAGACAACAGCGTCACCTCTGTTTTATCAGCGAATATGTGAATGACATTTCACATATAAGCGGTTCACAAAATATAGTAGCTGATTGTTTATCACGACCTGTCAATACGATCACTATTGATGTATGTGACTTACAAGAAATAATGAAGCATCAAGCTACTGACAATGAAATTCAGGCATTCAAAGATCAACTGAAACCATACACAATAAATCAAAATGAAACCATATTATGTGACATGACATTACCTTCTCCACGACCTTTTGTGACTGAGAAGCTCAGAAAATCGGTATTTGACAGTCTGCATAATCTATCACATCCAGGAATAACATCTTCAAGAAAAATAATAAAATCCAGATACTATTGGCCAAAGATGGACAAGTCAATAAAAACCTGGTGCACAGAATGCCAGCATTGCCAACAAGCAAAAATAATAAAACACACAAAGAGCAAAGTAAATCCATTTGAATTACCTTCCAGTCGTTTTGAAACGGTGCATGTGGATATTGTCGGTCCCTTACCACCAGTAAAGAACCAAACTGACCCTTATTTTTCACCATATCGATATTTATTAACATGCGTTGATAGAAATACAAGATGGATAGAAGCATGCCCAATAACAGAAATTACGGCAAAATCAATATCAATGACTTTTGTCAATCTGTGGATCTCCCGATTCGGGGTTCCTCTTCATGTCGTTATGGACAGAGGAAGCCAATTTGAATCCGAATTATTCTCAGAACTATCAAAAATAATAGGCTTCCACAGATTACGAACAACGGCGTACCATCCGCAAAACGAATGGATTAGTTGAGCGAGCACACAGAACTTTAAAAACGGCTATTATAGCCAGGAAAGAATCGTGGTTATCAGCTCTTCCTATCGTCCTTTTTGGGAATGAGGATAACACCTAACGAATCAAACTATTCTTCATTTACTGCAGTAACAGGGAGTCATGCACAAGTCCCCGATTATTAATTGACTCTATCAAGAACGAGAATAGTGAAATGACAAACTCGCACATTAAAATTCTAGCTGACGAGATGCAAAAATTTGACATGGACAAATTATCCAGGGACACCTGCATACAATACCTAATTCTTACATTCCAAAAGATTTACAAACATGTAAAAGTATCTGGCTAAGAACAGACAGAGTAAGAAAGCCATTGGAAGCTCCATACACAGGTCCATTCCAAGTATTAAGTCGTCATGAAAAATATTTTACTATTAAAAGATCGGATGACGTACATAATAATGTTTCAATAGATAGACTAAAACCTGCATATATTTCTGAAAATATAAAATCAAAAGATTCCATTGGATCAAGACCGGATTTGGATAACTCCTATCTTGTTCGAAGAAACTAATGATAACAAACCAGAAACTAGAACGAAGTCGGTAGAACGGTTAAATGGAAGAAAGAAAACACATATTTTTATTACTGATATAACAAAAAAAAAAAAAAAAAAAAAACAACAACAACTCTGTTTACTGGGGCGAAAGTAATGTGGTGGTACTGAGCAAGCGAAGGACCGGATGTTAACCCTCAGAGGTCTAGATAGCAAATGACCAATACTGGTCTTTTGCACCAGGCTCGACGATAAGTTCGGTGGAAAATCAAAAAGAAATAAAAAAGAATATAATAAGCAATTTCCACCAATTAAACGGCCCCCGCGCCCATATCCAACAGTTTGTTTCAGCATACTGACTCAGATCCGATGGACACACATAAATAGAACGATGAATTCACTTCTGGTCAGAAAGCCTTGAAGTTACCGTCATAGAATGTCGCTACGCTTTTCTCACCCATCAACCCGACGCCTCCAATTTTCCTTCACCAACGGAGATATCAAATGACACCTACCAACCCATTGACCTCACCTTTCATCTCCTGGGACCTGCACGCCTAAACTTAAGTATTCACAAAATGACACTTTAATTCCTTTCATAATCTGATTTCTTTTCTTTGAATGAACATTTTAATAACGGACATTGTGCGTGTTAATCAAGAAACATTATACTTATCATTGATGTGTATTTAAATATAAAGTGTTTCTGATATACCCTTCTCTTTCATATTTTGTTTGTTTATGTTATGGTGACCTCAATTTGATTGCTTGTTGAACCTTTAGGCCAAACTAGCAGCTGTCCATAAGTGACTGCTACTGCTTACCTACCTTCTTATACAAGCAACAATTACCAACGAATATACACTTCCCACAACACCACAGGTTCAAACCTGGTATCCCAGCTTTAGTCACTTTCCAACCACCATAGTCTAGCTTCTCTGTACATTTTCTTTAATTATTTTCATGGTAATTGTTCTGATGAACTTTCTTCTATGGTACCTAAACTTGATAAATTTAAGCACAGTACTAGATTGGCAACAAGGTCTCATCATTTTACAGCTGAATTGGCTAGATGTAACTGTAAGTTCTTTACTAACAACCTGTTTTTTCTTACTTGTGGAACACTCTTCTGACTTCTTAATTTCCTGACAATTTCATCTTCAAAAATTTCAATGAAATGTCAGTTATTATCTACTGTCTTTTTGATTCCACTTCTTTTATAGTTTTCACTCCTTAATAATGTTTTTCTTTATCTTATTTTTAAAACATTACTTATTCTTTAACAGCCCTTGTATTATTCTTTCACACACAGTAACTATCCCCTTGTGTTTTAGTGACTTCATTCCATTACTTGGGAGAAATGAGTAAAAAAGAAAGGTATTAATTTTCACATGTTTCACTCACTTTTTCTGTTACATCTTTTTCTCTGCAGTTGTCAGAATCCAGCTTATTGGTGGCTCATCAGAAATCAATGGAAGAATTGAAATCACTCGTAAAGGAGTCAAAGGAACTGTCTGTGATGACCAATTTGATAACAATGATGCAAAAGTTATTTGTAGAATGATGGGATACAGGTAATTTTGATTTTTAATATTTTTGATGAGTAATAGAACAAATTTCAACTTGGAACTAATTTCAACTCAATTTAAATACCCTAAACCTAACTCTCACCCTAACACTTAGTTTCAAAGTAAAATTAGTTACATGTTGAAATTCTGCACACCTCTTTGATTGATCTGTTTTCTAATCCTCTCAAGCTTAATTTCTCCATTGCTCAAATATGTTTTTGCATATTTATTATTATTAACAGAATATTTTTCCTGATCTATTCTCCAGCCCTCATTAGGTGTAATCGATGAGAACAAAAGAAACCTCTTCCTCAAGAGAATAACAAATTATCTACAAAAATTACTCATGTCTATATCTTCTGGTCTGATCTATTTCTGCAGTATTAGGTATAATACATGGGGTCACTTCCCTAACCCTTCATTTGTAAGCATCTTCTTCCTGGTGCTGTTAAGGTGTAGCATCATAGGGGTTTCCATTGTCCTACTCTGTATTCTTGCAGTTTCCATCTGATTTAGAATAATTGTCACATCCATTGTCCAGTACAAAAGATGTTTTGCATGCCCGCATTGCAGTAATGACACATCTGTTCTGCCACTGACCACTCTCAACATCCTGCTACCAATGTCTTCACTATAACCTGACTTCTCATGCTATTGACTATTCAGACATAACATGGTGTACTGATGTCATATTAGGTCAGGGGCTACCCAGTCCTCATTTTTCACTTTCAGCAGAGAACAAAATTGTCTCTACATCTTTGTCAGTGAGAAAATATTTTTCTCCTTGGTACCCCTTTATCACAGACAAACTGTTGCAAGCCTCTCACTGCTGTTTACACTCTTACACTGACACTTCGGAATTAAAACTCTAGAGAGGTTAAGTTGTATGGTGAACTTTCTCTCTCTCTGTCTGTGACTAGTATCCTCTCTTTCTGTTCATGTAACAATTACTCCTGTGTCTGTCTGTGACAGTTGCCTTTTTCTCTAAAAGTGTAGGAATCCTTCTACTCGGTTTTTCGTTGAATATTAAAATTTGGAGCGTCGGGATTCAATACGTTAATAAAATATCATTACAGGGTCGCTCGTAATGTGGCCGTCTAGAATAATCAAACGGTTTTCATTGAAGGAATAAAATTCAGTAGAAAAGACGACGTAGTTTCAACAAATAAACATTGATTTAATATAACGATAGGAATACAAAAAGTTGGAAAGTAATGTCTTTTGTTTGGGTTGATAAAGTTCTGAAATAAAATATAAACTGTCTTTGTGTACGCGTGTGAGAAACAATAAAATGTTGTGATGTGTGTGTTTGGATGAAAAGGTCAACATGTGTGTGCGTGATTCATAGTAAAAACGGATACTAGAGATACGAATTGTTTCTTACTTTTGGCGGTGTTGCCGTGATCTGGAGTTTGTCAACGCTGTCGTTTTTGACATGAGGTCATGAAGGTCATCGGCGAAAGGTGTGTGTAGCTTGCTGGCAGCCGCGTGTATATTGTTTTGGGAACGGATTTCGTATGTTTTTATACACTTTTTCTGAACAGTATCGGCTCCAGAATTAAATTACTTATTTATTTCTAATTGGCCTTAAGAAGTCACGTGGTATGTCTTCTACTACGTCCGTACGATATTTGGTCGGTATCTACCTAAAAATGATGATGACTAATACAACAAACATTCTGATTTGTAATCTATGATTTTATTGGTGTGTTTTAAGATGTAAGTGTTTTCTTAAGTGTGATTGGTAGTTTTGTTTTGTTTCATTGCTAGAGCTGTCTTCAACTGTCTGTGGAAACGTTCTACCATTCCGTTTGCACAAGGATGATAGGCTGTAGTTTTTATGTGTCGAGTTCCGAGTAGGTGATTGAACTCTCTAAATAATGTAGACTGGAACTGAGCTCCTCTGTCTGTTGTGATTACTGAAGGTACACCAAAATTTGCGATCCATTCAGTAAGGATAGTTTTAGCTATTGTTGTGGCTGTAATATCTTTGATTGCTATTGCAGCAGGCCAGCGAGTAAACCTATCTATGATAGTAAGGATATATGTATATCCTTGAGAACAAGGTAAGGGTCCTACAATATCAACGTGTATGTTCGTGAATCTTGCATCAGGTGTGCTGAATGTGCCTGCGGGTGATTTGGTGTGCTTATTTATCTTGTTCTTCTGGCATGATAAACAAGATTTTTGTCAATTTCTTATGTCAGTTGACATATTTGGCCAGACAAAACCTTCCGTAATTAACTTCACAGTTGCACGTTTTCCTGGGTGAGACAATGTATGGAAGTGTTGGAATACTTGCTGTCTCAAATTTGGTGGTATATAAGGTCGTGGTTGAGTTTGTGAAATGTCACAATAAAATGTAGTATCACTGAATGGAACAGGTAGTTCAACTAATTTTAGTGATGTACTTTGTTGTACTTCTTGGAGTGTAGTGTCTGTGGTTTGTTCTTTAGCGATTAATTCGAGGTTCAAAGAACTAGAATCTAAAGAAGCAATTGTGGCACGTGATAATGCATCTGCCACTATGTTTTCTTGGCCTGTTACATATCTGATATCTGAAGAGAATTGAGAAATGTAATCTAGGTGTCTGATTTCCCGAGGATTATATTTGTCAGTATGTGTGTGTAATGCATATATTCATGGTTTATGGTCTGTGTATATGATGAAATCTCTGCCCTCCAGGAGGTGCTGAAAATTTTTAATAGAAAGATATATTGCTAAAGGCTCTGTCGAAAATGTGCTGTATTTAGTTTGTGCCTTATTTAGTTTAGCGGAGAAGAAAGATATAGGTGTGACATGTTTGTCCAAGATTTGGTGTAAAACCGCACCTACAGCTGTTGACGAAGCATCTGTTGTGAGGGTAAGCTTAATTTTCTCGCTATCCTTGATGTAATTCAGCTTAGTAAAGTTAGCTAAAGCTGTTTTGGCATTGTTGAATGCTTCTAGAGTGTCTTCCTGTAACATAATCTTTTTGTTCTTGTTCTTTAGTAGGTTTGTCAAAGGTGACAGTACCGCTGAACAATTGGGTATAAATTTCCTGTAATAATTAATAAGGCCTATAAATCTTCGCAATTGTCTTAGTGACGTTGGTTGTGGGAAAATTGGTAATAGCTTCCAATTTGCCTGGTAATGGTGAAATACCTTCGTGGTCAATTTCATGTCCGAGGAAATTTATTTTTGGTTCTCCAAAACACACTTGTGAACATTGATTTTGAGTCCAAAATGCGAAAGTCTTTGGAAAGCTTGTTCCAAATGCATTTTGTGTTCTTCACGGTTTTTGCTGGCGATTAAAACATCATCTATGTAGGCATATATGAAAGGTAAACCTCTAAATACCTCGTCGATTAGTCTCTGGAAGGTTTGAGCGCGTTAACGTAACCCAAAAGGCATTCACTTACGAACTCGTATAGTCCGAAAGGTGTCGTCAGAGAAGTTTTGTGGATGTCCTCTTCGGCAACTGGTACTTGGTAATATGCCTTTACCAGGTCTAACTTCGAGAAAATGCGTGCACCTTGGAGACCCATTGCAAAATCATGTATATGCGGAATTGGGTATCTGTCAGGGATGGTTTTGGCGTTCAATCTGCGGAAATCGCCACACGGACGCCATGCTGTCGTGTTGGATTTTTGGACCATGTGCAATGGTGATGACCATGCGCTCTTGGAAGGACGTATGATTCCTAACTGTAGCATTTGCTGAAACTCTGCCTTGGCTATTTTATATTTGTCCGGTTTTAATCGTCTCAGTGTAGAGTGTACCGGTTGTCCTGTTGTTTTTATGTGATGTTTGGCATTGTGCTTAATTGTGTCTGTGTTTTTAAAAGGTTGAGTGATTTCCGCGTATTTCTGTATTAATTCCTTAATACCGCTAACTTGTGGTAAGGCAGAACTAATTCCAGTTGACTGGTATCGGGAGCAAATTCCTCTCACAGAAAGTTCTGTCAGATTGTCAACTAAGGAATAAGTGATCATGTTAACCGATAAATTAAATTTAGCTAGAAAGTCTGCACCTAATATTGGTGTGGTAACATTAGCTTGAGTAAAAAAAAACCCACAGAAAATTTCGCCGCATACCCAGGTCGATGGTTACTGCTTTCTCGCCAAAAGGTATCAATTTTTGTACCGTTAGCAGCTTGGAGTTTGTAGAGTCCTGGTTTTAAATTTTGCTTTGGATCCGGCGGTAAAACACTCACTTCGGCTCCGGTGTTTATTAAAAAATTATATCTGTGATTTCTATCAAGGATATAGAACAGACGACCTTTTTGTGAGAGTCCAGCAACAGTCGTCGTCTCTACTGGCTGGAATTTAAGTTTTCCGATGCTGGGTCTACAAAGGCACAAGGTTTCAAACAGCGTCTTGCCTCTGCACCAAATTTATAATGATAATAGCAGATGTCGAATTTTCGTCGTCCTCTATCATTGCTGAAACTCCTGCTGTTACTCCTTCGTCTGTACTTAGGTCTGGTAGTATTACGAGAAGTTCGTTGTTGTTGATGCAGTTTCAAGATAGACTGCATCTGTTTGGCTAAACTTGCAACCGTTGCTTGCAGTTTCTCAATTTGTTCGTTTTGTTGTTGGTTTGTACATTGCGGTGTCAATGTGTTCACCTCCCTGTCTCTAAAACCAACATGGATTCAGTCAGCAGAATCCGCAAGTTTTTCCAGTTCAGTTTCCTCTGCCATGGGTGCTAAAATTTGCGTCATTGTGTTGGGCAGTTTGTCCAACCACAATCTCCGTAGAATATTTTCTGCCATGACATTAGTACCTAACAGAGTTTTCATATATCTTAATAACTGGGAAGGAGTCCGGTCACCTAGTTCCACTCGGGTAAACAAATTGCGCAGCATTGTCTCATTCGAAATTCCAGTTCGTTTAATTATGGCCGTTTTTAATGTATCGTAGGGGTTTTCTTCTGGCATTGTTTCCAGTAAGTCCGTCACTTCTTCTACAACTTCTGCTGGAAGTTTTTCTACTAAATAACAGTATCGGGCTCTGCGAAACAATT